AAACGTACGTACGTCGTACGATACGTACTATACTACTACTTAACTTATTAGTTATACGAATATACTACTACTACTAGTAGTGTAGAGATATTGTTCTATATATATATATATATATATATATATATATATATATATATTTTGTGTGGATGCAATTTTAGAGAGAGATTGTGTGGATGCAATTTCTTTGGATGCGGGCCTCTATAAGAGGGATGAGGGAGGGAGAGATTCTTTAAGCATTCGTAGTAGTGTTGAGAGCAAGCATTCATAATAGAGTGAGAGAGATGGGATGGGTGGAGGAGATTTGACTATGTGAGAGAGGGAGTGACTTAAGATTCTAACTTAAATTAGAGAGGGGATTTGTGGGACTAATGGTCATGCTGAAGTTCACACCACCCTAAGGTTTAGAGAAAAAATTTGGAGATTATTTAAAATTTTTTTATTGAGCACAAATTAACAGGTGGTCAACACTTGAAGTCATATGTTAAAATGATTAGAATTAAAGCAATTACCCCTCACAAGATGATTAAAAGGAGATTAAAAGTATCCCTATTAGGGTCCCATTGGTCGCTTTTGTTTCTCATTCAACTTAGCTACCTTTTAAAAATAATAAATTTTTTTTTACAAAGTGCCTTTATTCTATATTAGAAATGAGGAATAGTTAGGCACATTTAAATAATTTGAATATTTAAGAGGTCCTAATAGAACGATAAAATATCCCTAGTTTTTCCCCAATGAACACACAGGAGATTAGTAATGAAGAACAACGAGGGATGTTTTGTCATTTGATAAGGCCTTTGAAAATGTCTGTAATTGTTTTTTTATTATTAATCTTGAAGAGTGTTCTTTATTTTTAATGAAAAATAACGAGGAGTATTTTTGTCATCCAACTTGGGCATATTGGGGGAAAATGTCTTATTTTTCATCATTTCCAATACATAACAAGGACACTTTTGAAACTTTTAATATTCAAGTGGTGCTATCACATAATGCCAAACTTATTCCCAAATAGAAATCAATAATAATGATAATAAAAAAAAAAGGTGTGGTACAAGGACTTTCAAAGAAGTCACTCATACTAATACTACTCGTGCCCAAATACGTTTAACTTGAGAGTTCAGATGGGATTTGGTGCATTAATACCGTTAGGATGATACTGGATATACAATTCCTATATAGAGAGACCTATTTGGATTTAGAGTGCCCCGATTCAAAATGGTTTTTAAGGGTTTGGTATAGTGGATGCCATATGTAGTGCTTTTTTTACCCTTAATTTAGAATTTTTGAATTATTTTTTCAATTATTCGAAGTTGTTTCCACGAATTTTGGTCCTACCCTGGATGAGGCCGTAAGTTCTGTACTTTTTTTTTTTATTTACAACTATACCTTTTTGAACCTTGTTACAATGATTTTGTTTTTCAATTCCTAAATTTTTTGAATTTTCTTGGGCATAATTTCAATCTTCACTTTTCCCTGTCATATATTTCGCCGAATTCTAGCGAATTGCAGCTTTCTTAATCCCATTGCCACCGTTATGTCGCCCGAAATTTCGCTTGTATCGGCCGAAATGACTATTGTTTCAGCTCTGAAAAACGTTAGGCTGGCTCAGTCATTTTTACTTAAGATGAGGGTATTATCGTCATTTTACGTCGTTTAAAGCCCTAGTTTCAATTGGAGGCTTCACTCGGGTGTGAAAATGCAGGCCTTATTTCCCGCCTCAATTTCCCTCTTTTTTTTTATATAATGAGCACCCAATTATAGGAATCATTGTGTTATATATGAACCCTAATGCAAGAATTCCAGTAATTTAGAGGTATTTGTGTAAATTTCATCATTCTGTTTTCGTAAAATGGTTTTATTTTTATAGAAACCCCTTTTTATTTTGGTAAAATCTCAGACTCATGCTTAAATGCACGGATTTAAGCAATAAGTAAATGCATCATTTATTTTTAATTTTTTCTTAAAAAAACCCAATTACTTTTTCTGTATAATTTATCACAATCTATCCCTGACGTGATAAGATTCAACAAGACCAGCATTTTAGCTTAAGACCCGATCAATTTATTGGAAAAACCCAGTTTTTTAAATGAATATACAGTTGGTTGTATCCTCTGAAGTTCTCAATTCATATATATTTAATTATTTAATGTCCTTTTTTTTTTTTTACTGATTTTTGGGTTTATGGAAAATTTTCCAGAGACTAGATCATTGATCACCTGGTAATGGCAAATGATGGAGCAGATGGGGATGATCAGGGTTCTGGCTGGTTTGAAGTCAAGAAGGTTTTTTTTTCCATTCATTTGCTTGTAGTTTATTAATAAATTATTTAACGGATGCTTCTTCCCTCTACAATTTTTTGTTAATTTCATTTGCATTTGCATAATGAGTATCTATACATTCATCTTGAGTGTTGGGTGGTGGATCATGATATTGGGTTTTAGTTTTTGAACAATGGGGTTTAGTGTTTTTTATTACTTTTATTGATTTTCTTCTGCTGGGTATCCATTATAGTATCATTTATTCATAATGTTGTGAGAGCATTATGGTATCGATTTGAGGTTATTTTTTACTTTTTTGTTTAGTTAGAAAAGATTTGCAATGTGCTCACCGTTGTGTTTCATTTGCTTTTTCCCTTAGTATTTTAGAGGTATTTTTGTTTCAGAAACACTAAGAAGTGTGAAATTATGTGGTTGCTGTTGTTTTACTTGGCATAATTTTCTTTAGTTGTCTTTAATTGTTTTTTCTCAATGCTTTTTAGCTTGCCTCAGGCCCAGGACTTGGCCCTGGCTCCAGGCAAGTAACTCAGCCAAGTCGGCTGAGGACATGGCACGAACGGCCCTTTAAAAAAAAGTATAAAACTAAAATAAAAATTGTAAGAGCGAACAAAACACAAGTCAACAGAGAAAGTCCAAAAAATCTGAAAAAGTTATAAAACCCAGATTTAGAAGGAAAATGATTTATGGTTGGAGACATTTTGGAAAAATTCCAAAGAAAGAGGAAAATACAAAAATAGGCCATATGACAAGGAAAGCTCACAAATCATTGTAAAAAACATCCAATTAGATATATAAATTTTATATATGGATTCCACAATTTTATGTGTTTTTAACTTTTTTTTAAATTTTTTTTTAAAGTGACCCAATTGTACTTGGCTCAGCAAGGTGCGGAGTCTGAGTAACTTAGTCGGCTCAGCTCACCGTTGTGTTTCATTTACTTGTGGTAGTTTTCCCTTAATATTTTAGAGTTATTTTTGTTTCAGAAACACTAAAAAGCTCAAAATTTTGTGGTTGCTGTTGTTTTCTTGCCATGATTTTCTTTAGTCGTCTTTAATTATTATTTCTCAATGCTTTTTAGCTTGCCTCGGGCCCAGGACTTGGCCTTGGCTCGAGGCAAGTAACCCGGTCATGTTGGCCGAGAACATGGCACAAAAGGCCCTTAAAAAAAATAAAAAATAAAATGTACAAAACTAAAATAAAAATTGTAAGAGTGAAACAAAACTCAAGGCAACAGAAAATGTCCAAAAATGTTGAAAAACTAATAAAACATAGATTTAGAAGAAAAATGATTTATGGTTGGAGACATTTTTGGAAAAATTCCAAAGAGGAAAATACAAAAATAGGCCATATGACAAGAAAAAATCTCTCAAATCGTTGTAGATAACATCCAAATTACATATATACATTTTATACATGGATTCCATAATTTTATATATTTTTAACTTTTTTTTTAATTGTTTAAAGTGGCCCAAGTGTACTCCGTTCAGCAAGGTGCTGAGTCTGAGTAACTCTGCTGAATCTGAGTACTTGGACTCTGCCAAGTTTTCAATCATTGGTTTTTATTTTCTTATCTCTTCATATGTACCTGTCTAGTGTTGTTTGCAGTTACTTGATTTACATTCACTTCTTTTAGGATCCCATAGTATAATGAATTTTTATCACTATTTTTTTTCATAGGTATTTAGCAGCATAGACCAGTTAGTATCCTTCATTTATTACCTTC